GATGCCGAGGCCAGTGTCGTGCCGTCCGGCGAGAAGGCCACCGCGCTGACCAAGTCCCCATGGCCCTCGAGCGTCTGCCGCAGCGCCCCCGTCCTGGCCTCCCACAGCTTGACCGTGGTGTCGCCCGATGCCGAGGCCAGTGTCGTGCCGTCCGGCGAGAAGGCCACCGCGGTGACATAGCGCCCATGGCCCTCAAGCGTCTGCCGCAGCGCGTTCCATTCCTCCTCTACTTTTGGCACTCCTCGAATCCATCGAGGTATGCTGCCTTGGAACCTCTTCCTTACTATGCTTGCTGTCGGTGCAAACACAAGCCCGCTATACGTCTGCAGAGGCGCCTGCTCAATCGCTGCCCGGTGGTAGAGAACGAACCGCTTCGCGTCGTGGACGAAAGCCAAAAGAGAAGGACCGTCACTAGACTAACTAAACTGTTAGCGAATCGTTGTGTGCTGTAGTAAAAGTACACTTACAGCAACGAATGACTCCAAAGATGCAATAGCATACACTCCTTCGGACACTTTCCCCATCCACCCGAGCGCCTCTAGCCAGTGGAGGAGATGCTCCTGCAAGAACTGGTGCACTTGGTCGTTGTCCCGTAGCTGCGTCCCGCTCTTCTGAACGTGTTGGACCCAGTACAGACATGCATACTGTAGTTCGGGAGGGAGGCTTTGCTCTACTTTGCGTCTCTCTATCTCGGCTACAAGCATGCCAGGAGTATCTACGCCACAGATGTCTTGCTTGAGAGCGCTCGACATTAGCTGTATGCAATGGCCTGCCAACGCTGCATGCGTCTGCTTCTCGTCGACCCAGAAAGCATCGCCACATCGGTCTTTGTTAAGCAGGAAGTCGCGGAACGACGGGTGATGGAGGCGAAGCGGTCGGCTATGATCCTCTGGGATGTCGAAGATGGAATGCAGCTCATACAGCATTTGATGAACACTCTCTACAGGAATTCGGAGCAACGTGGCCAGCGAAGATGTAGAAAGCGGCGATAACAGGAGTACGATCATTCCAAGAGTCTCTTTGACCAGGCTGTACCACTTCTTCTTTTCTTGCTTTCTGTACCTTCGAATAGGACTCTGGAGGACTGTAAGATATATCTTGTTCAACCGCTTTTCAGGTAAGACCGCAGGCGGATCATCCGTAGAGGAATCCTCGGCTGAGGATCCATCCGTAGGTGAGTCCTCCGTAGGGTAACCAACTCCGAGAATGGCCCGTAATCGATCATCAACAACAAGCTGGCCACCTTGTTGAATGAATCGACAGGCGGTTGCCGCCCAGATGAAGAGACCGCTTGCGCTCTGGCATAACTGTTTGATGACCCCCTGGCCTGGCCAGTCTGCAGCTTGGCAGCATTCTTGCGCAATAAGGCCGAAATTGTATTCTAAGAAGACGGAAATGTCATGATCGACGACCGACGGCGATATGTTGTGCAGCACATAGTCCTGGTGCTCCGCATCCGCGATCTGAAAGAACCCGTGGCGGATCGGCACTTCTGGCCTACTTGTGAGGAACACCCGCAGCCGGACACTCGTGAGTGTTCGAGCCTCGGCCAGCAGCTGCACGATGATGCGGATGTTGTTGTCGTTATCGCACTCATCGAGCGCATCGACCACTAGAACATACGAGGACAGTCCCACTAGCAGTGATAGTGGACGGACAACGAGGTGCTGCCACTGGTCGCCCAGGGACTGGCTGGCTATGTCGGGGCGGCTTGCGATTGCTTCGCAGATGTGCTCCCGACATGCTGGCACGTTGTGCGCAAGCTGCACCGCGATGCTCGTCACGAACTTGCCTGCGTGGCTGACGTCGCCGCCACCGCGCGAGAAGAAGAAGCTGGCTGCCAGACGCTTCTCGTCGTAGTAGCTGCGCGCCACTGTCCGCGAGATCGTTGACTTGCCCGTCCCCGCCAGCCCGCTCAGCCAGAAGATGCAGCGCTGGTCTTGCCCATCCGCCCAGCTGTGTATGACTTTCAAGAGGTCGATACGCGTGTCGGGCAGACACTTGGGCTCGTGCTGCTTGCTGTATGCGTTGAAGGGCGCGTCTTCGGCATGTGGCAGACGACTGAGCGGGTCCTCGAGCCCTAAGTATTTGTTTGCTTAGTGTCCTGCTCCTGTATCCTGGGTTGCTGGGCCTGAACTCACCGACGTGGTATGTGTCGCTGTGGTACGTGTCGCCTAGATGGGCCCTAGCATTGTCGCTGACGCGGACGTGCTCATAGCGGTGCCCCGGGGCACGCTCGCCGTTCCTCCCGCTGGCTAGCTCGTCAAGGTAGGCCATGTGCGATCAGGGTTGGGCGACCGCGAGAGGTGTATTTAAAGTTGGAGCTGGGAGCTGGAGCTGGAACCTGGCTGCGATCACGGTCTGTCCCGCCGTCGCCCTGCAGTGCTAGCCTATAGGGCTGATGAAGGGTAACATTAACACTCGGTTGAAGTCGTTTAAGAGCAAGCCTGCTGCATGGCTGCATATACATGACCCAGTTAGAAGTGCTCAGAACGGCTCGATACACCACGCCAAGACCAGGCTGAGGTTGCTTACACCTTTATCCGCACCGTTAAAGCAGGACGGTCATCACAAGCTATACCTTAACGATCTTATCATTATTGTCTCTAGTTATATGTTTCTTGTGCACAACAGGTCGCCGCCTGCACGTCTATCCATTACCACATCCGCGCTACTGGTGCATTCCAAGTCTCTGACGCATCTGGATCTAATGCAACACCTTTGCGTTCTTACCGCGCTTCTCCTTGTCTGCACTTGCTTCTGCCTCTGGTCCAGTACATTTCGGTATCGACTACGCGTTCTCTTGCCTTTGGCTTTTTTGGCAGCATCTTTGTCTGGGGATCAAATACTTATTTGATCCATCGCAAGCCGAGGTACGAGTCGTTATAGCCCGACTCGGAGCAGTAATAGACCCATCCTGGGGTAGGGTTCGTTATCCAGTTCCTTGGTGGGTAGAAGCTGGCCAGATGATTATAGGATTCAGATACTCACCGCTTGCGGACACACAGTCGACGGCTGTGACTATCGTCCGCTTAACACCAGCACCTCTATAGTCTCGCACGTCATCCTTACCTATAAGAACTTTAACAGAGCTTAGCATTGACAGCATGATCCCAGTCTCGTCCATGTTATAATCATTCTCTGGCACGATGTTAGGTCTACGAAGCTCCGGTTTAATCACCTTAACCCACTGGGTGATCTTGTCATATATGTTGATGTCGTGCCGGTGCCAGTCCATCGCCCTGCTTGTCCTTTCTCTTCTGACGAAGAAAGGTATTGCTGGCGTTCGGCCTTGGGCTTTCTCGACGGTCGTCCGTGTTTACGATACCACGCCGCAGTGCGAGAGATGCTACCACACACATTCGGAAGGAGCTCTTGTTCTAGCGCCTCGCTGGCTGGGTTCATGGCTACTTGCTGCTTTACGTCGGTGTTTGGGTCTAAGAGTACGAGATCTTTTCTAGGAAGGGGAGGTGATTCTACGTGACCACAGGCATGGCCTGTTACGTCCGCCCAGTTCGAAACCATCCCGTTTGCTCCTCTAGCCCCGTGTGGCTTTTCACGAGCAAGAATCTCAATTCACTTGAAGAAATCCTTCGCAAATTGGCCCTCCATGTTCCCAGCCACGACATGCCCTCCATCAACCTCGATGTTGCTGTACTTGTGTAGCGCACCCCCCGCCACACTGCCTAGGTCGCCCATGAGTAGCCTCGCTTCTTTGGACGCTTTCACAAACTTATACTCGTGGCCTGTCGCCTTCGTTGTCTCTTTGAATGCTGCCATGCAAGCCCGATAGCAGTGGCTGAGTGCAACCGTTTGCCGCTCAATGGCCTGCAGAACCTCGGACTGCTGGGTCTTCGTGAGTCGGCTCTGAGGACCGGCATCGTCGGGCTCTTCGGTCACGGAGCTTGCATCAAGAATGGCTTGCATGCCGATCTGGAGGCCTTGCATTTGCCCTGTGAGGAGGGCAGTGGTCGCCTCGATCTTTGCTTCAAGATCTTTAGTTGCATCAAGGTTATCCGAAGCGGTTTTGCTTCACAGTCTTAGCAATTACCAAGTAAGTGGGTCAAGCTGTTATCTCACAGGGTACAGAAATCAAGAGCGATGGCAAGCGTGGATTTGTAGCTAGCCAGACGCGCTTGGAAGCCCCCAATCTCCTTTTCCTGGAACTGCAGCTTGAGCCTGTCCC